CTCCTGGGGGGGGGGGGGGGGGGGGGGAGTTAGGAGTCTTTGCACAGGTCGCCGAAATAGCTAAGGGCGGCCCTGGAGACCGGGAACTTCAACCAAGAGAGGCTCCAACTTCAGAAACAAACTTAATTAATCTCTGGGTGAAGCCCATCAGTCTACAGGTGAATGAGACAAAAAAGAAACTTAATGTGCGATGGCAATGAGAATGATCATACTTACCTGATATTCCTGATTTTATGGGTTAAGTGTAATCAGCTTTGCTATGCCCATATTCAGCAAAATGGGAACTTCAAAAAGGGCTAGTTAGAATGACCATGAATTTACTTTGCCATAGTACCAAAAATGAACTTTTATTCATCACTACTGATCATTCAGTGAAAGAAGTTTGTTAGAAGTTTGAAAGAAGTATGTTAAATGAAGTACTTGAGTTGGAAGAGGGCACTCTAATACCCAGTAAAATATCTATTGTTGAACTAGTAGAATGTGACTGGATATGCAAGGCAGGAATGACCATGGACAATTATACCTTGTAATGAATAATGAACCATCATATGAACCCTGTATATGACTTTTATTCAATAAAACCCAAGCACCAGTTATTCTCACTGTTCAGGTATGAAAGTTCCAGAAGCCCCAATAAGGCAAACACCAATCAAGCTCTTATTGCACTACCCTGTAGAAAAAACAGGACAGGGAGAGGAAGGCCACTCCTCCAAAGCTTTGCATAAGTATCACAGAAATAGAATATAAGCCCTTAATAGTTGCAAAAGCCAAGACTGACCCCCGAATAGTTGCAATAGTTGAGAAAAAATGAAATGACTAGTGACTGATAACAATGCCATGTCCATCATTTAAAAAAAAAAAGACTAACAATTCATAAAATGGAGAAAAGGACTTGAACCAGGTCATGGAATATGATGAGATCTGATTGAATACTATCATTGGAATCAATTCCAACTTGAAGGCTTGAAATGAATGCAGCTTCAGAGTTGGCTCTAGTCCAACTCAGCAGAGGAACTGATGTTGCTGATAAGTTCTGATAACCCTGTTGTCATTTATACTGGTAATTAAGCATAAACAGGATGTCCCAAAGTTTTGATGGGACTGTACTATAGATTAATTTCAGTTCAACTTTTACAGATCTGATTTCTAAGTGCATTTTATCAGAACAGTCCATTGGATTGTTTATACACCCATAGATATGATGATGGCATCAGATTTGTTAAAGTTGCACAGATCTGGTGCAAGCCACTTTTACATTTGCATGATAGCCAGTACAGGTAATGCCTCTGATCAGCTCACTAAATTTATGCAAGACCAATTGAGTTGTAAATGACCTTAATCACAACTGCAGTAGCAAGGATTCCAAGTGACAACATCAGGAGCGGCTTCATGTAGCAGTGATGACATTCATTAGGAGACCTGAAACATTGGAAATCATGTCTCTTCAATTTGAAACTAGAGAGAATGATGTGTGCTGGCAGTTTATAATAATAATTTTTTCACTAATGCCCAATGGGCCTTGAAGGGTAGTCCAGATTGAGAGGTCATCTAGTAAAACATGATTCAAGCCAACTTCATGAACTGACCATTCAGTGAAACTCACTTTAATGGAGTGGGATCATAGGCAGTTCCCTTGAGGAGCTCCTGAGAAACAGAGCCAGGCATCAAGCGATGCAAAACTTCAACTGCAGCTCTTTTGCCAGCTTGGATAGCACCACTGATATAACCATTCCATTCTGTTGCAGTGTGGGTTCCAGCAAAATGAACTCTGCAGAGTCCACATGACAAATATGATACAAAATCAAGACAACATCCAGCTGAGCAACTGATACTTATGCAACAGAATCTTACATGTACCTGTGAAATGGAAGACGAATATCTCTGAAGTGAGACAGAGGCCCAGGTTGAGCATAGTTGCTGGGACAACCCCCAGAATAAGGATCCTCTCTCCATATCTTTTCTTCATAGTGGATAGGTTTCAAGGCTTCATCCCCAAAGAACTTACTCAGACCTGTCAGCACAGCCTCCTTTCTTGATTCTCTCTGCTCAATGAATTTTAATTTAATCCAGTCAGGAATTCAAGTAGAATTAGGACCCTCAAGTTTATAAGTCATATTTCTTCCATACAGATAATTGTGAGTAGTAATGGTCATCAGAAGCAGATATGAAGCCAAGTAATGCAGGACTTCCTTGAGAAGTTGTTCCATCATACACCACACTAAGTGGGCCACTTCCATCTCCACCATTTGTCACTACCTCCCCACTGAATCCTCTGTCCCTCCAAAATGCCTGAAAATCAGCATTTTATATAATTCAATAGTAATTCAAAATAGACCATTGATCGATTGCTGTTACTAGAAACTCACTTTCTCATATATGACAATGAACTTTGTCAAATAACCCATTGGGAGGTTTTCATAAACAAATTTTGTGGTCTTTGTAAGAGGGGGATCAAATTCAACTTTAAGAAGGAGATTTGGTGGTAGAGTGGAAACAACATATCTGGCTTCAAAAGTTTGGCCATTTGCTGTTTCAATCAACACTTTTTCCTCCATTGATTGAATCTTCACCACTGGGTGATTGAGATGGAGCTTCAGACCTTCATTCTTATCTTGTGCTTCCTGAAGTAGCTTCTTGGAAATCTGCTGTGCTCCTCCCTATGCACAGTGGTAACAAGATGACAAAAGGATTTCACTACAACTATCCTCCTGGCAAAGACCCAATGTGCATTTATAACTTCTGATTTAGGAATCAAATGCAGTCTTGAAAAGGATTTACTGAAATATGCAACAGTTTTCTGGCAGTCTTTCATGGGCATTTATCATGAATATGGCAATTTCCTGTAACCTCATGAGAGTACATCACATCCCCAGCATTTCCCACAGATTTAGGCATTTACAAGAACTATCCTGAAGGTACATTTCCATGAATACATGGAAATTCACAATTGATCTGATGAGGAGAGCATCTGAATTTTCTGATATTGTTGAAGGGCAAAATATTGGGTTGTTAAGAAAGTCTTTGGAGTTTCTTTCGTATTTTGGCCATGCACTTCGGCATTTTAGAAAAGTTTCGAAATTAAGCATATATATAAAGGGCTCACTAATGCACCTTCTCATAGTTTTCACTCCCTCTTCGGTGAGCTCTGGACAGAGAAAATGGAAGAAAAGCGCGTGCACATCCGACACTGCCTGCTCTTGGACTTCGACCTGGGCGTCTCCGCTACTCAGGCGCACCTTCATCTGTGCCAGACGGAAGGCCGTGACGCCCCCTCCCTCAACACCTGCCACTACTGGTACAATGCGAAGGCGAGGCCGCTGTCCTCGGAGCTCCTGGCTGGGTCCAGCCCTGCAGGGAGGCTCCACCTGAACCTGCGAGACGCGTCGGACCACCTCCGGCTGGGCTCTCGTTGGACGCGCAGTCTGGCCGCCACCCTCCACTGCTCCAACGCTGCCATCGACAATCATCTCCACTCTATCGGCAAGGTTCTCAAGATGGGAAGTTGGGTGCCCCACATTCTGACCCAGAGGGGCCTCTATGCTCGGTCTGAGGCCTGCACCCATCTCTTCTCGCGGAGGCGCAGCTTCGACTGGCTTGACCACGTTGTGACTGGGGATGAGAAGTGGTGTCTTTACATCACTCATACCCGGAAGCGCCAGTGGCTCGACGCTGCCGAAGAGGCACAGCCAGAGCCGAAACTTGATCTGCACCCGCGGAAGGTTATGCTGAGCGTGTGGTGGGACGTCCTTCGCATCGTGCACTAGGAACTGCTGCCGCCCAACACCACTATCACTGCTGACTACTACTGCTCCCAGCTGCAGCGTTTGAAGCTGAAACTCGAAGCGACGTGACCGCAGCGCGACAAAATCTTCTTCCTCCACGACAACGCCCGACCCCATACTGCGAAGTCTCAAGCTCCTTGAGCTCGGGTGGGAAGTCCTGCCCCACCCACCGTACTCCCCCCGACTTGGCCCCCTCAGACTATCACCTCTTCCGCTCCCTCCAGAACCACATGCAGGGGAAGCACTTTGATACCCAGAAGGAGCTCGAAACTGACCTCAAGCACTTCTTCGAGGCCAAGCCCCCGGCGTTCTACAAGGGAGGGCATCCACTCCCTGCCCGAAAGGTGGAGGAAGGTTGTGGGCAACGATGGTGTTTACATTGTGGGTTGATCTTGTTTTCATTATGAATAAAGAGAGAATGAACAAAAACAAGAAAAACTCCAAAGACTTTCTTAAAAACCCAATACAAATTTGAATTTCTTTAGGAGAGTAAGAATTCATCATTTTTCATTAAGAAGAATGGTAATTTGAGGAATGCTTGCCTTTCCACAAGAGGGACACTGCTCCTGGTGTAAAAATGCACTAAACTTCATCCTTCAGTTCAGAAAAAGGCAAAGTTCTTGCTCTCCTAAAACGTTTTGAAATAACTGTAACATCTTCAATGCCAAACTAAATTCCCCAGGATACAATATCAAAAGCCCAGAAAATGTTTGCAGAGGTAAGCAATCAATGCATGTAGCTTACATATGCCAATCAGCCTTTTTCTTTATTCTTGAATTAAAGAACTTGGTCTAGGCTAATGGTAATACCCCTTTTATTTTAAATGAATGACTAATACCCGAATATGTCATACCTGTCATCCTTTCAACTTTCACATGCAGTTTAAAATTTTAAAACTCAGTTCCACATTTCAAAATTATTCCCCAAGGAGGCCTCAATCTTCCCCTTTGGTCATGCCGATCAAAAAAATAAACATCTTAAACTTGGACAGCCTCTTTCTTGAAAATACAATTTTGTGGCTTGCCATGATCTTTCAATGAGCCCTTCAAATATGCACCTTCAATGGAGGAAACAAGGGCAATGATTGGTCAACTCAGGCTGTCTTCTAATCAGTAGATTGCAGTTTAATCTAATGTATAGCTTCTGTGCAGGCAAAGCTTCATGCCATCAATATGTTTTTCAATCCCCAGAGAACCAGAGCACATACATGTATTTAAACTCAGGTGTAACTACAAGGACTTTTTTTTCCTCCTGGAGTATTACCACAATGGCATCAGGACTCCCCAAAAATTTTCTCATAGCCATGTGAGTTCAGAGAAAAGAAAAACAACTTGACAACTGAACAGTGAGCAAGGTTAAATGCCCCAAAAATTTTTAAAATTACTTTTTCAATGACAATGACAAAGTCATGACATTGTTAGTCAGACTTTCCAGATCCATTCAGCACTCAGAAATGCACAAATCCCTTTATGGCATGGATAGAAGGAACTGATTTTAAATTTCCTTTCTGCTCCAAGTGGAGGGCCTTGGGGCAGTCAGAGTATTCAACGACCAGCCCATATTCAGAAATGTTTGGTAAGACTGGAATTTAAAACCCAAGTAAAACATACAAATTTTTCTGCAATTACATTGACATCTTCTAACATTAGAATTTTGTATGAGAAAATCAAATTTATTATGCATTACTTGATAAATTTGCTGATCTTAGTCACCTGTCACAGGAAAGGTTGTGGTGCCAAATGACATGGATGTCAAGCATTATGAAAATGGAAGATATAAAAGGAGAAATGAGAATCAAGGTATTCATTTCACTTGGGGCATGTAAGGAGCTTCAGTTCATTCAGGCGTACCTTGAGACGTGATTCTTGGGCACAGCCAGGAGAACATTCGAGGAGTTTAGAAACTCCCCCACTGCAGTTAGCATAGGCAAGAAGGAACAACATGGATACACTTGAGGCATTTGCACCTAAGGATGGATGACACTAGTGGTTGCAGATTGCAAAAGTAAGTAATGTAAGAAATGCTAATGTGCAAATGGAAAGAAACTGATGTGGAAACATACCTATCACTGCTGTCATAGCAATATCCACAGCCTGGTATGCAGCTTCATTGGTCAGGTACTTTGCAGAATATGAAGCCATAGTATGACCCTCAAGCTCTCTGGCAAGGGGACTGTTGAAAGGATCTTCTATGCTCACCTTTTTGCACATTCTTTCAAGCTAAAAGCAGCATTTCATGAGTCAATTACGAAGTCTCGAGTTGTTAAGTTATATTTTAAAGAAATGCATAGCTTCCAATCAACACACCTTCCAAAGGAATAATGCAGTCTGGAAGGCACCCCAAAAGCTGCCCATATTAGGAATGATACCTGAATATGTCTTGATCTTGTTACTTTTCCCAAGCTGCATGAACTTGATCCCATCAGAGAATTGGGGATAGGTTTCAAGGTTGAAATCACGAATGACCTGCATGACATCTGCCTGTGATTGGCACACCCACTGACCTCCAAGGTCCCATTGATCCACCTCACCAGATAGACTACATGGCAGGTCCAATGTTACAGTTCTTCCTCCTACCCGATCTACATACAGATGGGTTCTGACAACATATCAAGCAGTAACAGAAGCTCTAATTAGAGCAAAGATGTTTACCACCCAACCTTCATGTGTTAAGCCCAAGCTGTGACTAACCTCGTGCTTCCAAGATAGCAATTTTGATATTTGGAGCCAGGGAGACTAATCTATAGGCTGCAGCACAACCTGAAGGCCCCGCTCCAACGATCACTACATCCACTTTCTCACCCATTGTTTTGGTCTTGTGACACTCACTTCATGAACTACTATGTAAAGAGGCAGAATATAACGAGCACAAGAAGTTAAAAGAAGGCAATGAGCCTGAAAGCAAGTTTACAGGATGAGAATTCCTCTTATACAAGAGTAGAATGATATCAAGTGAAAAACTGTGGCTGGCTTGTGGACTACCTTTATCTACCATGCCATGTTCAAGCTTTGGCCTACCTTTATCTACCATGTCATGTTCAAGGACTTTGGCCTAGTTTACCATAAAACACTCGTAGGCATGACAACAGTCAGTGCTTGATAATCCTTCTTGAATCTCTCCAGATAATGCTGAACTTCTCATTGGGCTCAGCAGAAGGGCATGATTCACCAATGCATTCATTCATTCATTGGAATTGGATTCATCAGGGAAAACTTGTTAATTTGAATTAGTTTTCATTTCAGGTCAGAATTACTTATGTTTGGTAGATGCAAATAGCTATCTTAGCATACAACAGTTTGATGTCATACTCCAAATGACAAGAGATTTGGAATAAAAAGATTAATTCGCTGTACAGGACAATTCTGGAAATAGTGTATTGCTCTGAAGAACAGAGGAAAAATAGAAATCTTATAATATTCTACAACTTTCAAACGTTGGATATAAAATGATATAAAAATATATATTTAAACTGATTCTTATGGTAGCAATTCTAGGACACCTACACAGGTATATGACTGTTCTGAACAAAACAGTATTACATAAATTAAAAACTAGATTCCAATTGCCATGAAGTAAGAAGGATATTTCACTTACTTCTAAAACTGTTATAAGTCATATGAGGGAAGGTGACCTCTCAGATTAACCTGGAAGTCTCTTGTAGTTTCTCCAGTTTTTTGGCATTCTAGCTTGTGGAGATAAAACTATGTTACTTCCAAGGAAATTTCTGAAATGTATTTTCAGCAGTGCCTTCATGATTTTTGACTTCATCTACAGGGTGTCTGAAAAGTCATTCCCTCTTTTTAAATTGCTATTGCTCCTAAACTGAAGGAGATATTGTAACCATTCTTTCACTGTTTTAAGCTTAATCATTACCATTTCTATTATAAGTGAATAATGGCTGAAAAATTAAGCATAGAAGAATGAGTGACTTAATTTAATAGGTCGTTGAGGGCCAATGGAATGGCCTGCTCGAAGTCCAGATTTAACGCCGCGTGACTTCTTTCTGTGGGGCTGGGCGAAAGAATTAGTTTAAAAATCAAAACCAAGGACCATTGATGAACTTGAAAACAAAATTTGTGATATTCTAGGCAATGCACCAGGTGACTTCTTGAGAAAATCNTTACTTTCTGGGGGCTCCCACAGATGTTCACCGGTGCACTTGCATGTATGCCTCACACTCCCCAGTCTACAGGGTGTCTGAAAAGTCTCTCCCTATTTTTAAATTGTTATTGCTCCTAAACCAAAGGAGATATTAAAACATTTCTTTAACTGAATTGGAGCTTATTTTTTACCATTTACTTTATAGCAAAATTGAAAAGCTTTATTACAAAGTTAAAATTCAACATAGTCTCCAGCATTGTCCACACATATCTGTAACCTTACCGGTACATTTTCAACAGATTTTCTCAAGAAGTCACCTGGTGCATTGCCTAGAATATCACAAATTTTGTTTTCAAGTTCATCAATGGTCCTTGGTTTTTATTTTAACACGTTGGTGACAATGTGTCCTGATGCCAGGATGCAGATTTTTTTCAATGAATACCCTCTGGAACTGTTGAGAACGTTCCAGAAGATTATGATTTCATAATTACTGATAAAAATAAAAAAAAAATTCAACATTTTAAAAATACTCGCAAAAAAAATGTTTTCTGGAACCATGCGTCCTGATGGCAGGACACATTTTTTGACAAAAAAAATGCGCGTGGTCCCACGCGGCGGACAAGCAAAAATAGGCTGGTTGTCAACGTGTTAAAACTAATTCTTTCGCCCAACCCCACAGAAAGAAGTCACATGGCGTTAAATCTGGACTTGGAGCAGGCCATTCCGTTGGCCCTCGACGACCTATTAAATTAAGTTGCTCATTCTTCTATGCTTAATTTTTCAGCCATTATTCACTTATAATAGAAATGGTAATGCTTAAAGCTTAAAACAGTGAAAGAACGGTTACAATATCGCCTTCAGTTTAGGAGCAATAGCAATTTAAAAAGAGGGAGTGACTTTTCAGACACTTTAAAAATTAATCATAGAACGAGCGACTTAATTTAATAGGTTGTCAAGGGCCAACGGAATGGCCTGCTTGAAGTCCAGATTTAATGCCGTGCGACTTCTTTCTGTGGGGTTGGGTGCAAGAATTAGTTTTAAAATAAAAACCAAGGACCATTGATGAACTTGAAAACAAAATTTGTGATATTCTAGGCAATGCACCAGGTGACTTCTTGAGAAAATCTGTTGAAAATGTACTGGTAAGGTTACAGATATGTGTGGACAATGCTGGAGACTACATTGAATTTTAACTTTGTAATAAAGCTTTTCAATTTTGTTATAAAGTAAACGGTAAAAAATAAGCCTCAATTCAGTTAAAGAAAATTATAAATATCTCCTTTGGTTTAGGAGCAATAACAATTTAAAAATAGGGAGTGACTTTTCAAACACCCTGTATATATATATAAAAGTCGGGGTAGCTAAATTTACTCCAGAGAGGGAAAAGTACTATTCACCCCTCACACCTCAAATTGTATTGCTGTTAATATAGACATAAGAAACTGCATGCTTTGCAACATGAAACATGTATCAATATTTCTGCAATTCTAAGACTTGATACCTGCTACATTGATGTAACATTTCCAGAAATGTTACAAAGTAATCTTGCATTCAAAAAGTTGATTCTGCATCAATGAGCAAAGTACACAGGTATAATGAATGAATGATGAAATGAGTGAAACATATTTTCATTTATCACAAGGACATATTACTCTAACACAGATTCCTATGTGATGCAAGGAAAATAACTTATGGAACAATAACACCAACACGTCACATCAAAGAATTCAATTGGCTTCTCGATCCCAACGATAGAAGAGCTCCATGGGATGGCTGCTTTTCCAGTAATGCTCATAAACCTCATCCAATGTGAGAGATTCAGGCAGACAAATCAAACTGGCACCTTGGGGAGCCATGTAGATCTGGAATGTCATTCCAGTTGTAGGAATATCAGGGAAGGAATTTGTGTCCAGTGGGATACGCATCTTCAGAAACTCACTCACGTGTTCAACTGCAAACACAATGCAAGACCGCATTACCTTCACAGATGTCTTTTAGAAATGGAGCAAGAGCAAACAGCCTGGCTCACCATCATACATGAAAAAAGATACTTCACATGTATGCAGGTGTAGTGAATATCACAATAGCACATTTATTCCTTACATACTGTTGCAGCTCAATCATAAAGAAGTTAGTTTGTCCAGTACTCTTGGGATGCTGAGTAAAACTGTAAGTATAAAAGAAGCTTCTTCATTCAGAAATTTTAGGTTTGAATGGGAAATAAATGTCAGTTAGATGAGATTGCACAAGGATGAGACTCTTGTCATATCTTTTTCATTTCAAATTTATTCTTCTAAATTGAATGATCATGCAAGCAAATATAGCCTTTCAGGTTGATTCAAGCACCAATTGCTCAACTTTAATATATATATTTATTTATTTTGAAACTCAATTCACCCTTGGTTTTGGGTAAATCTAGAGACTTCTGGGGAAGAGTCTGTTTTGTCAATCAAATATAAGCAATTAATTTTTCATTGCTTAAAAATACTGAAGCAAGTTGTGTTTCTCAATCATGAATAACCAAAAAACATTAAAAGAATTGGAATAAAAAAATCTGAACAAAAGATTTATTTCAATGCTTTCCACAATTTTGTTTCACCTTTTGATTTTTCAGTGATCCACGAATGAAAGACATGAAACTTGTCCTACCATCACCAGCTTTATGAAATTTAATGGGTAGAAAATATCAATGAAAGAGCAGGTGTCAATTACAAAGACAGCAGCCATAAAAGAATGGAACACAGCCTTTAGGTTAACCTGATGTGATATTTTCTTCCCTGCCACTATGATTCCAGGAGAGAGGCAACAAGATTTTTTCCCCCTGGGGTTTGGGGGCCATGAAGACCATAGATCAAGACTGGGAACACTTCTTCAGGAATATGCTTTACATATCATTGTATCCTCTCAGAACTTTCTTACTCCATCTCTTATCCTTCAAAGCCCAGAATAACAGGGTGAGAATAGCCCAGAGGACTACATAATGCATCTGCATAACAAGATCTATGAAAAGAGGTGTTTGGATTAAAGGAAAATATTGACGTAGGCTCTGTGAGATTTCGGTTGGAACTAATAGTCTTTCTTATAGCAGTGTAATGGAATAATGGCATTCTCATAAATGATGATACATGAAATAGATCATGAGATTGGCATTCCAGGCAATCAAGCATCTGAATTGAAAATTATACATTTAAAATGAGAAATATAAAAAATTTAGTTAATAATAAAAAAATACTATCAAACTCAAGCAGCATTCTATCACCTCATTCTCAGCCTTCCCAAATGTACCTTATCACAACCTTGTCAATCTGTCCACTGGTGAGAGGTTAGGTAAGGGGAGGGGGTTTGGTTAAATAAATGAGAAATACAAGTGGGCAAGGGGATTGAAAATATGAACATTGTCTACATAAAAATTAGTAAACTTTTCCAGAAAGTCACAATACTAGTAAGCAGCAATCTACCCCTATTGTACCCACAGCTCAAACCCTTAAATATGATTTGTGAAAATTATTTGACCTACCTGTTGCATTAGCTGTGGTCTTGATGTATCTAGCAGCATTTATCTTCAAATCCCTCAGGTGAGGACTCATTTCAGGATGTGGCTTAATGGCCAGTTCAAATTCTCTTGGGCTTGACTTTGACCCATCACTGGTACCTTCACCCTCTGCTATAGATGAACTTTCCTGGCCAGAGTTTGAAGCAACTGATTCAGTTTCTGAACTGGGTTTTTGTTTCTTCCTGCTTCCTGGAGTGGAAGTGTGCTGATCCCCAGATATGGATGGGGTTGGAGTAGAGGGAGCACTTGCATTTGGAGTGGCACCAGATTCTTCCCCTCCTGCTCTGCTTCCATCTCCACTTGGGGTTGTACATGCAGATGTATTGAGTTTTCTTGGTCTCTGTACCCTGTTTTGTGATTGAATCTGTGAAGGATAAAAAGAAATAAGATTTTACAATAGGGCCTCACAGAGTCCTACTGCATGTCAAATAGAAGAATAAAGTAGGCAATTCCTGAAATGGCTGTCTACTGTTTTCCCCTCACCTTCATGCCCTCCTCAATTGAATTCACAAGGGCAGCTTGATTTGAGGTCTTGTTAACTTTGGCCAATAGTTTTTCTTGATGTGCTTCATATTCATCTCTGCTAGGGTAGATCTTGGAGATTAAAGCATCGAAGTTGGGATCAGGCCTCAAGGAGCGCTTGGACACAAGCTTTTTTCTGCATGTTGGGCATTCTTTATTCCCAGATCGCAAGGCTGTGATGATGCAGTCTTGGCAGAACCTATGCAGACATTCCTTAGTCGTCATTGTATTCTTGAGCATATCTAGACAGATGGGACACATTAGTTCACTATGAAGACTTCTGGGAGACACAGCGATTTCCGTACTGTCTGTAATAGCTTCTTGGGGAGTTCTATGAAGTTCATACAGAGACAGCTCCCAGGTCTTGCTGCCTGTTGGTTCTGATCCCATGTCGTTACGCATGAAGGATGCCGAAAGGAAAAGTGTCGTATTCTTTCAAGACTGAGTCTCACAACATTCACTGGACGCGGCACCTGCAGGCTGCCATCTTAGTAGCGTTGCAAGAACGAACCGTGGAGCTGGCCATGATGCGTCGAACAGATTCACGATGAGCAAGGGATAAAAGTATCATAATAAAAAGTAAATACCACAGTTTCATGACATGCATGGATTTCTAAAGTTTTTTAAGCAATGCATTTCTAGAAAAAGCTCGACTTTCAGAAAAGATGGAACCGAGTATGACTCAGCTTACTCGAAGAGTCAAGAATCGAATATGACTCCACTCTTTCTCTTCCGGGTGCCGACTTCTTTGGGGTGGACGGTCGATCAAGTTGTGCAATCTTTTCACCCATTTTTTCTGAATTATATCCGTCAAATCACGCACTAAGGACGATGTCTGGAAGATTTGGTGGTACCAGATTTGGCAGGTAAGAGTTTCATGTCATTCTTTGTCAAGGTAGCAAGGTAAAAATACTTTTAACTACTGCGTACCGAGGAATCTATTCGTCACCCCCCCCCCCCCCCCCTGGGAAGAATCTGGTGCCACTCCAAATGCAAGTGCTCCCTCCGCTACCCACATAGGTTAATTGGGAATTGGAATACTTACGTTCATAATTCAAATGCAACGATGTTGAACGTTTAGGTGAGAACGTTCGCACGCCGTGAATCGTTTTCGTGAATTTTACATAATGCGCGTTTTATTGGATGAAACAAATGAAATCAAATGAGTTGAAGCATACCTCCTCGTGTAGCGTGCCATGAATTGTCAAATCTTCCAATCCGTAGGTAGAGTATTGTATTTATGCCGAGCACTTCATGAGAATGCCATTATCGTGTGTTGGAGCTATTCTTGACTTTTCCCTGCTAGCCTAACTTTGCCGAGCCATGACCTGCGGTAGATAGGCGGTAGGACTAGATTTGTGGGTATTTCTCCCTAGCAACTAACAGCTGGTAATGAGACACATGACTCCATTGAACTTAAGCAGTTTACATACTACTCATCCCCAATTTAACTAATGAGCATGGGCAGTTTGTGATATGTAGCGGTAGTAGATGGTCAATGGAGGTCGGGTAGGCCTAGGCCTACCCTCCTATTGATGATCCATTACCATTGAATGTCACGAGCCCCCACTGGCAATGAGACACCTGTAATATACATTGTGCCCCATTAGTTTATGATCCCTACCTTTTACAGATCCAGACAAGAATAACAGGAAAGTACGGATTTATTTGCATTCCATACAGCCTAGAACATAGCAGAAACCAACTACAGCTTCAATCTTGAATTCTTGGTGTGATTTCTGCCATCTTCCAAGCACTTGTGGATCTGAATCAAAGTTCTTGAGTAGGCAGGTGGCATTTGATTGAATGGTTTCCCACTACCCCCAGACCCTGCTAATGAGTTCCTCCCAATTTCTATGGTGCAGCTGACGCAGATCGCTCTGCTTGAAAATCTCAGCTTTTCCTCTAGTTTGCAATGAGGTGTAATTTTGGGTTTCCAGGAGAACGGCTAAGAAAACTTAAAGGCTTTGCAGATGCACAGTAGTCAGAAGCGAGGAATGAATTTGTGTAGAAACAGTTAGGACTCCTTGGACCAGGAGCAGGAACTGTGTAAAATTTCAGTGTTGTTAAAATATCAGAGGGGAGTCAATATAATGCGAAATCAACTGAAAAAATTTGGAACTCCACATGCCATTTTTTCAAGTTGCATGTAAATCATATCACTTGGAAATGTAAACCTTGACAAATTCATTAACTTCCTCAACCTGTGTTCTCTCATGTGCGAGACAGCACACATGCCTCGGAAAGTTTGCTTAGTCTTAAAATTTTTTCCCCATCATTTGCCCTTGCTTTCAAAAGTGAGATAAAAGGCATTAACATGCACTTAGATGGCATGCACTTTGACATCAAATTCTCGAAAAGGTTGCACTATGGATTCCTTCCAGCCCCACCTTCGTTTCCCAGAGGAGACAAGTGGCAGCTGTCCAATTAATTGTTTCCCCAAATTGAGTAACCTTGATGTGGGTGGGGTGGGGGTCGAAAACGCCCGGAATATTAACATTCCCATGAAATTCCAATCATAGTTCATTCTGTCAACCCCATAATCCCAACCAATGCAAAATTGCAGTTTGATGAAGTTGCAATGAGGGAACTGCATATCTTTGCACACCTTCTCCCAGAACATGACGTTACTTCGTGTTCAAAAACAAACATAAAATCCTGCCCACTTTCGTTCACTATCTTCTATCTGTCCCGTTTCTGATTCTACAAAATCTCATTTTTCGCCAATGGACCTTCCCTGAAGGCAATTGCATACACTCTAGTCTTCCAATTTTCCGCGCATGTAACTCAGGTTTCCCTCTTCCGAGAATTTTGGAACAGAGGCAGAGATTGAGTTCTGAACTTCTCTCTCTCTCTCCCATTACAGCCATAGGACCATGTCACATGCATATTTCCATATGTTGCTTATCGAACCAAGCCTTATAAGTTGAAACGTATTATACATGTATCTCCAACATAAAATAGAACAAAGCATTGCTAGGTTCTTCAGGTGTAGTGGCTCAAGTCCATAGATGGTTTTAGGAAATGTTCCATTGAGATTGATTTGTCCTTATGTTCCTTTGTGATTTTTTCAGAATTGCTGTGCTTTTAGAAACACGACGAATTTCCTGTTATCTGCTGAACTCTTCTCACACAGCAGCTGCTACAGCAGAAGGGTCAGTAGCGCTAGCGCCACTGCATCCCTGCTTTTATTCTTGAATTACCTTTTCTCCAAAACCATAGTTTTGTGTAATATTTCATCTGTGACTGCAAAAATGTATGTGCTTGGAATAGATTAATAGTTTCAGCAACTCTAAACTGCTGTGTAGGATGAATCCAGCTGCACACCCATTCAATGCTGAGTTCAATTTTGAGCGAAATTCATTGGTTCATAGAAATTTATTTTCAATTGATTTCTATTTTTTTTTATATGTACAATTGAAGTCTGAACTTCTAATTACCTATTCTAATTCCATAAACAGTGGCTGCCGGCTTGTACCATAGATTTTCCAAAGTGCATGTGAGGTCCAATAAAGTTCATTACAGATTACTTTCCAAAGTTGGTGTGTTATTTATCAGTATTAGCCCTCTGGATTGTTATGATGTTAATTAAGTTCAAAGGTAAATAATAGAGTCCCAATGGTCATCAGGAATCTAACTCATGTGGGCTAGTCTTGACTGACTTATGTGTTGGATTTTGCCACTAATTATCATTCTAACAAATTAACCTAATAACATTTATACCTAGGCCTGCTTGTCCACTCAATGATATGAATGTGAAGATGGATGGAGCAAAAAATCAGCATGAGAAAAAAATTCTTTGAAAAATACTCTGCATTTCATTGTTTATTATGTCAAGGTTATTATGTAGATCCTTGGTGTTTTTCCTGGAAGCACTTTTGCTTGATGTATTTAGAATTTCCTGCAGTATTTCAGTAATCCTTTCATGTATGATGTCCACTGTAGTAGATGGCATGATTTTGGCAATGTTGATGGCTTTTCAGCCATAAGACTAGGTGCCAAGAAACCTTTTTCTAAGGATCTTCAGCCAGAAGTATGCAGCCAAACTCAGTGTTCTTAGCAACATTCCAAAGGGTTTTTTTCTTCTTGGGCGACCTGAATGAAAGGTTAATTACAGGCCTTCTTGATAGTGAGGAGAAATGAGTGGTGAACCATATACATGTGAATGCCAAGAAGGCCTGGCATGATTGTTTCACTCTGGTCATATGAACAGAAGCAGAGAAAGCAGGTGAAACAGAAAAAAGTGGTAGAATGATGCTAAGGATATAGATTGATTATGTACTTCTGACTGTAGACCTCTAGCAAAAGGTTTTTTGCATACAGTTCCTTTGCCATGAAACTTCTGGTGCATGCAGTTCACTCCAGTACACATCATCAATTCAGTGTTGCCTCCTGGCAGTAGAACATGCAATGACTATGGTAGAATACCCCCTTGAAAGCTGAACCAATGAAGTTGTATTTAAATGAAACAATTTTTGTTTCATTTAAAAAAATTAATGTGCCATAGGATTAGAAAGTTCAGTATTTTATTATCAAAATTCAATATCATAAGATAAATTTGGCTTGTTATAATGTAAAATCCTCTTCTGCTGCTCCTTGTTTGAGTACTACTTATCACTGATAAATTGGTTGAAGTTGAATCATGAAATGTCATCTGTATTCATCTGTTTACCTGCAGGTACCATCTGCAGACTAGAATTAGGGTTGTTTCAGTTAATTTTGAAAATCTCTGTACATTACCCTGGACTATATGTGAATTGATACAATGAAGGTAGGTAGGAAAGGGGTTTACCTGAAACAATTGTTTTTGCTTCTGAACTAAAATCAGGGGATCCATCATTTTAATATTTTAAGGGTGCCCTTCCTTATATGAAACTGTAATTCTTTTTAATTATAATTTTAGGTTCTTATTGAAGTAATGTTCTTGAAGAAATCTTAGAATTCTGCAGTGCAAACCAAGGTATGAATATTCAAATTGCCTAACCTGTCTATCTTTGTTATCCAATTTACAAACTGCTAGTTGACATATTTCTGAAGCCATGTGGTTACCATTTTGGTGACAGGAGTATGAAAATAGCTTTTGTTTCAGACAATAAACACTTAAAGCAAACTTAAATAAATTTTAGAGACAGCCAAGTGATGTTGAAACAAGTGCATATACACTGCAGTACCTGTTAAAGGGTTAAATGATGCTTGCTAATGTAAGTAATGTATGCAAATGTCTTATGACTTAATTTAATTCTGGAGGTTTGGAAAGTGCAGTGATTATAAGGTAAGTAACTGGAAAGTTTTTCACCAAATGCATCTTAACCTATGAGAGGTCAGACATCAAAAAGCATCTAACCTAGTTAAGGGGTCAGGTTAATTTCTGAGAAAGTCACCTAGCATGTGGATTATAAAAAAAAATCTTTTCACACTTGCATCATCATTCTTTGGGGGAGGGGCTTTATAAATGCCCTTGGGCAATTAAGTCCCACAGAATGTTGTAAAGGTTAAGTGTCAGACAAATTACACAAGTCTCCCCCGTGGTGTGATTAAGTTTGAATGTGTCCCAGGTTATATTTCCCCCCAGATGCCATGTACTTGCCACATGTATCTATATAGTTCATTAGAACATGCTTATAACTGTAGATCAGAGTTATCTAAAGTGGGTGTTTGCTGAGGCACTTGTGCTGCATGCAGCCCATGGGTCACACTTTGAGCACCACTGATGTGGATTAAAGTTTTTGGTTAGTTCTTCAATAAATTAAATTTCATTATGGCTTAAACAAGTAAAATTGCATTTTTGCTCGATTTTCTTGACCTTATGAACAGGATGAACCTCAGTAAGTGTTGAGCACCACCAGTTGCAGGAAACTTGGGGGGAAAAGGTGAAATTGAGTAACTTTGTAATTCTGCAAATTTTCAATTTCTCAGTTTTTCACTTTCCTGGCAGACTTGATATGCCAATATGACATAAATTCACCTCCATTGGCAAAGTGAGCATTCTGTGGTATTTTACATTGGTCCTTGATATGACTTCACGGATGAGCAACCCATCTTTCACAAGCTGTCATGAATTTTTCAGTCATGTATTGCAGTAGAGGTATGAGGTGTTCTTTTGAACAGAAATGCTTTGCATGGATACATTATGACACATGCATAAAGTTCCGAAAAAGTGTCAGCTGATATGTTGAGCCAGATGAGCTTAATTTTAAATATCAACATACAGATGAATGGTGTAGAGGAGCTCTCTAGATTAGCATGGAACATTTAAGGTATGCCAATAAGCATGAACCCTTTTTAAAAGCAACAGCCATAGTCCATTTTCCAACTTAGTTCCAAGTGTTGTATTTCATGAATTTTGAAGCATATCTCACTGAAATCTTTAAACTTTTGTGACATCTGCAGTGATTCACGAGGTGGTAGCTCCAGAGGCAGAGGGTTTGGAGGAAGTGGAGGGGGACGAAGTTTTGGCGGTGGATATGGAGATCGGCAGAGCTTCAACTCTTTGAAGGGGAAGCAGCCTGGGGAAGGGTTGAAAAAACCAAAATGGAGCTCATACCAACTAACACCATTCCAGAAGAATTTCTACACACCATCATCTGATGTTCTCAATAGGTAAGGAATACCATTTTTGAGGCATGAAGTGGAATGAAAGCATGAAATAGAGAACAAGAGAACGGGGCAATTGAATGGCGATATCCTCCTTATTAGAATTACAGCAATCTACTTGGCTTCAAACAAAGATTATACCAGGTGGAGATAATGGAGGTGTGAGAAAGCATGGTAATGGAGACTTCTTTTTTTTTTTGGACATCCTGGATATCTTTTGGAATCATGCAATCTTACATTTACCCTTTTTGTCCACATCGCTAACTTAAACATTCTCTGATTGTTTGGAGCAGTATATGTCTAAATCAGTTTCTGGTCAGTACTATTGATGTTAATATAACCTTATTCACTTCATATCCAAAAATTCTTTTAACTTTCTCACTTGAGTTTGGGATCTGTTGAAAATGTAAAGAGAGAAGTTAAAGTTAATCCAATGACAAAGCTCTGACAAGGCCAAATATAGTTGAGCTTTGACCTGTAGGAAGCTCATGCCTACTTGGATAGCATACATAACCTAAATTTATTTTAAGTAAAAATATACCATATTATTTATTAAAATGCATTATCTGATATTAGTATTGGATCTGCCAGCAGCATAATGTAGATATAATTAAAATCTGAGATTACTGCATCTATGATCCTACTTCTGTTAATAGACTGCATATATCAACTTTGAGTCTTGTCAAGCTTATCAAATTTTCCCTGAGACATTGCATTTTTTTGTTTTTCTTGAACTTCAGAAACCCCATGGAGGTTCAGGCATACCGGGAGAGCCATAACATCCAAGTTCGTGGAAACATGGTTCCCAATCCTATAATGAACTTTGGAGAGGCAAACTTCAGTTCAGTTGTGCTGAACGAGTTCCAGCGTCAAGGATTTGCCAGTCCAACTCCTATCCAGAGTCAGGGTTGGCCCATAGCCCTGTGTGGAATGAATCTTGTTGGAATTGCTCAGACAGGATCTGGAAAGACATTGGCATACCTTCTACCTGCAATGGTCCATATTCTTCATCAGCCCAAGTTGCAGAGAGGGGATGGCCCCATAGCACTTATTGTTGCTCCAACTCGAGAGCTGGTTCAGCAGATCTGTGAAGTAGCTATGAAGTTTGGCCCTATCTTCCATGTGAGGAGCGTGGGAGTTTTTGGTGGTGCTTCCAAAGGACCCCAGGTATGTCTAATGAATCAAGATGAAATAGTGAGGAATTTGAGCTCTGGATAATAATTGGTGGGGTTTTTTTTTTTAGCTCCGTGAATTAGAACGTGGTGTGGAACTTGTTGTGGCTACACCAGGCCGTCTCATAGATTTCATTGAGGTTGGAAAAACAAACCTGAGGCGCACTACATACATGACATTGGATGAAGCAGATCGCATGCTTGACATGGGATTTGAACCCCAAATTCGCAAGATCTTCGAACAAGTTCGAGTATGTTTACACAACTGTCTATGTAAAGGTTCTTTAAAAAGGCTGTCCTGATAGGTTTAACTACACTGGTGGACAAAATTAAGATAATACCATTTTTTTTGTCTATATTTTAAGTACAAGGGTAAATTAGAAGGCAAAGGCTACTCTATGTAATTCTGCAAGAAAATTCCAAATATCCAAATCGATCTACAATTGTTTGCTGCATGCAAATTAAGGAAGCCTATAAAAAAAAAAGGCAGCAGCTATTGCCTTCCAAGTTTGTCTGTTGGAACATATAATTTATCATTTCATGATGTAATTATCATAACTGTTACCAGTCCAAGGTTTCACTTTTTTTTTATACTCTTATTGGTTATGATAAATTGTATCTCTATACAAATTTTAATTTATATACTTCTCAGAATAAGAACATTCTGGTTTTTGTGATTGCTACCTTAATTTTATCTACCAGTGTTCATTGATGCTTCAACCTGAACAATCAATTGCACTCTGATGCACCATGTGCTTTCTGTAATATGTGTGCATGTGTTTGATACAGGGAGGTGCCAAAATAAGTAAAACTGGAAATATATATATCCAAATTGAAAACTACTGGAACATCAGCTTACTGCGAAGATGCTCTCATCCCTCGGTGCTGTTGTATCTGAGCTTATTCCTGTGAACTTTAATTGTTAATTCTGTTAATTTTTAATTTTATAAACCTGCTATTGCATCTCCAAATCCATTGATGCATCTTTGTGCTGTGCCAGGACATCCTTTTTTTCTTTCATGAAGTTTGTATGTGTTTCATGGCATAACTCTTCCATGCTTGAAAATATATTCAGCCAGACAGGCAAGTCCTCATGTGGTCTGCTACATGGCCAAAAGAAGTCCGTAAAATAGCTGAGGACTACTTGGAAGACTATGCCCACATCCAGGTTGGGTCCTTTGAACTCACAGCCAATCGCAACATTCTTCAAATTGTGGATGTTGTTGAGGAAGAACAGAAGAGTCAAAAGTGAGTTCATGTTTTCTCCTTGAATTGTTTTACTTATTTATTACAGTGGTTGCATCACAGCTCCTTCATCCAGAAGCAGCACAGCTATGCTGATTACTTTTATACCTACATTTCCTCTGTCTGTTAAGATTTTCAACATATCTCATGTCTCCAATTTACTTTTTATGAACAATATAGTCAACTCTCTTTATACCACCACTTGATATATTGATATACTGCCACCTTCGCTTATTACCAACCTTTTCTTGTGGACATATATCCCCATATGCCTATATAATACAGGATATAGACAATTTGATATAGTGCCACCCTTGTGCTGAAATTGGCTATGACCAACTGTTATATCAAGGGTTGATTGTAATTGGTTGAAAAAACTGAAGAGATTGCTTCCATCGACTTCAAGTGCTAGTAAATGTTGGCTGCATTGTCACTATGGATAAAGAATTTGATAGTCCTTTGTTCCTTTTTGAAAATTTAGCTGTATTAAATCAACATGCAACCAATTGCATTTAAGAAATTCATAAAATATGTTAAAAGTTTGATACCAAGCTGAAACTTCAGCCTTGCACAGAAGAAACTACTATTAAATTACTCAGCATTACATTTCTGTTCCTTGAAAGGTGAAGGAGGTAGCTGTGCTGCAGTGATTACTACTTTTTTTTGTTCTTTCAATAATTAAGGAAATCTCATTGTTGAGTATTTCATCTTTGTTCCAATCAAGACTGTTCCAGTTGCTTGGTGAAATCATGGGAGATAAGGAAAACAAAAGTTTGATTTTTGTGGAGACCAAAAGAGGAGCAGATGAATTGACAAGGCTCATGCGTCGCGAAGGCTACCCTGCACGCTGTATCCATGGAGATAAGGCCCAGAATGAGCGAGATTGGGTCTTGGGAGGTAGGACTAGAAACCTTATCTTGTCTGGGTTTTTTTTTAACCGTCCTTATATGTTGCTTCCTGGTGAAATGCTGAATCACAGGGAGTGTCGAAAGGGACGGAAAGCAATTTTGTGGGAACATGTATTCATTAATGTACATGTTTTACTGTACATTTTACAAGTCTTCCTGCAAGACAAGGGATATGTCCCATTCCAAAAAAAAGTAACTGAGCACTCCTCAAAACTCATGTGTATAGTTGTTTCTTTTCCTGCTTGTTGCATAAAATTGTATGCCATGTTCATGGTTTCTATATCATTGGAAAGCTTTGTCTCCTTTGATTCGATATAAAAGTAAATGACAACTCTTGTAGGAGTTACGACTGGGCAATTGGGTTAGAAGGTGTCCACTTTTCCACTGCTCAGGTTTTTTTATGGTTTATAATTGAACAGCAGCAACTTTATTCATTGGAGGCTATATTGCATCCGTACCCATAGCACTCATTGCAGAACTTTCTCTATTTCAGAATTCAGGAATGGGAAGGCCAACATCTTGGTGGCCACTGATGTTGCTGCACGTGGATTGGGTAAGTGAATTGCTCACGTGTCTAGCTGCCATGCTATATCCATCATGAGACCAGAAGAGTAAGAACAGATGCCAAGCATGGACCCTTTGTTCATCATCTGTTTCCCCTTTTTCTCATTCCAAAACAGCTCACTTGACCTCGGGCATCCTGAAGTCTGTGGCTGCCCTGAGATCGTTTGTGTCCCTGTCCCTCTCGCTTTGAATGGAGAGACAGAAAAGCACTTAATTAAAGACAGTGGAAATTTGATAGATCGAAAGACAAGGGCGAGGAGAGGATGACCTGTTATGAGTGCCATCTGTGGAGAGCAGACAGAACAGTAGACTTGCTCAGCATATGTTTGAGGGAGTCATTCACCAGTTCTCTTCTGTCTGTGATCTCTGTGGATGGAGATGGTCTGCCTCACTCCCTTGTAATGACAAGGTAACACCTCTTCCTCTGTTCTTTTGTTCCTGATGCATCATATTCATTTTCTTTTGGTAAGAAAGAATGGTTAGTTGAGGTTGCAGCTCAAGGAGTTCCTTTCACTTTAAAAAAAGTGTGACTCCCAGATTGGGCTGTACCGATGTTTGTCTTTGGCAGATTGGCCTATGGCCAATTATGATCTTGCACTCATCAGCTGGTGCTCTTTCTCACTGGGTGGAGGAAGGAGGTCCACAAAGTTGCATCCAATTATCTATATATCAACAGCTTTTTCACACCAACTCATTTAGATTTAGAACACTTCATCTGTGATTTTTTTTTTCTCCATGAGGGGAGTCTGGAAGAACTATCAGATCATATTGGAAAGGAAACAAGCATAATGAAATGTAAAAAACCATACGTTGAGATGATAATGCAGCTTTGAGTAGCTTAATCCAGAAAGTGTAAATTTTAGGCTGTAGGCCCATGCATTACTTGGAAAAGAGATGATTCCAGCAGGTCTATTACCTGCATTCATTTTGATGTAATGTCAGCTGCATGGAGAGAGATATGTGCATCTGCTTAGGCAATTTTAGTATTTTTGTCATCTGCTGAAAGAGACCAGAATCTGAATCAGAGTAAGTTCATTTTATTGTATGAAGAAGTCATGGGGCAACCCAATTCTGTCATTAGACTCTTAATAGCAGCAGAGAAGTTTAATCCTTGTATTTTGATGTTTTGGAAGGGATTAGAGGCCCTGGCCTCCTTGGGAGACAGTCACACATGCACAGTTTCTCCCTTCTAAAGTAGCAGGGGGGACTGACACCAAGATCAGCTGTGTGAATATCTATTAATAGCTATTGGGGTAGATGTTGCCATAAGGTGACCAATGATACTGGGTGTTAATGCATCGGTACAGCCCTCATCCTGAAATTAAACTTTTTACAGGATTATTCACATGAGTTGGACACTAACACTTGGGAAGTGCCTCATTGCTTGGGTGTTTGAGTCAAGTGAAAATAACTGCAGCATGTTAAAAGAAGAGGCTCAGATCTGTGAATTTTTTAAGAGGTAGTTTGCAAGAAAATAACTCTTAATGATGGAAGGAAATTAAGAGAAATGAATCTGGACTAGGCATACAAAATCAGATTTTTGGCCTGTACAATGTTAGCCCCCTCAATCTGGTATTTAAATGTTCTGTGGTGGTGTTTTTGGGTCAAGAGATGTCAAAACCATATTAGATATGGAATTTGAAATCTCCACAATTGATCTGTGCAAACAGATATGAATAAAATCAATCAAGAAATGGCAAATTATTTTTGGTTATGAGCCTTACACTTGGCATACCCTATATGACAAACCAACCTGAGGGGTTGAATGCACCACTAACCAGGAAAAGCTGAATGACTTGTGGGACAGGATTCAGCCTATTGACCAATATGACAGGCATAACTCGTTCTTTTTTCTTCTTGGATCAGGATAAAGTATAAATCATGGAGCAAAAGAGCAAGAGATCTCTCTGCCACCACCCCTCTTGTCACCCATGCTTATGCACAGGCCTTGGTCTATTGCATAATACAGCAAATTTTTTACTTTCTAAACCCATGGCACACAGGCTGTGCACCCCCTAGACCCCAGGAACTAAAGCACCCTTGATGTACTGCTTCATATACTTCTCAGGCTGCATATGTATTGCCATGAGAATGGCACATGAAATCAAGAGAACAATCCTTGTGGAATTTGGAAGGAAAGAAATTTTGGCCTGCTGAAAATTAATTTTTGAATAGCAAGTTTGTGCAATTTGCATGCTAGTGAACTTGTACTCTAATTTTTTTTCTGAATTTTAGCAATATCCCCAAAATATCGCTATCATTATGCAAAGTTAGAGAGCTGAACCTTTAGTGTGTTCTGGTATGCTGTAGGAGTAACTAATCTAAGGCTGCTTTTTTTGTCTGACTGCAGTCTATGATATTGTGGCTTTTCTGTAAGTAGTTTCTCCCCTCAAGACAATTACCCTGTTAACTTTGAACTACATGCACTGCAATGTGCTGGTCTCTTCAGTTACTGTGAGCTTTCATATATTCTCTACTGGGTCATTTTCTTGCAAGCTGCCTTTGAGCTGTCTTCAGAGTACAGCTACTCGCTATCTGAATTTCATCTGGGAGAGTCCAGAATGTAATGGATCTGTGTTCTGGCTTTGCAGATGTGGATGATGTCAAGTTTGTCATCAACTATGACTTCCCTCATAGCTCTGAGGACTATGTCCACCGCATTGGGCGCACAGGTCGCTGTGAAAACAAAGGAACTGCATACACCTTCTTCACAATGCAGAATGCAAAGCAAGCTCGAGACTTGATTGCTGTCTTGCGTGAAGCCAACCAGGCAGTCAACCCAAGCCTCCTGATGATGCAAGAAATGGCTCACTCGGGGTTCAATGGTCGCTTTCGAGGTGATGCAAATTTTTCAACCTACAGCTTTTCTTTATAAAAAAAAACTTGCTTATAACCCAACCTTTTGTAATATGCATTTGTCTCAGGCAGTAAGTGCTTCACATTTTCATTACTAGAATTTGGGCTTCCTAGGACTCTGAATTTCTCAATCATGGTAACAGGTTTCATTGTAGATGCTAAATTGTGTTCAGGCGAGGTACATCATTCACCATGTTGGCTGCCATTTGTGATGTCACTTTATAATTTTTTTCCTTCTGTTATTTTGCTTGGTTTGTTTCATTTTGTTTCACAGGGAACTGACCAGTCTCAACAGACATGGCTATAAAAGAGTCAAATTACAATATGTTGTTTGACTTAAGCACTTTACCTTCCTTACTCATGATATCATCAGATGGGAATCTCTTTTCTTGAAGAAGAGTAAGTTAGGGGATATGTACTCTTCATGATCAACTGAATCTCTGTTGCAGGACGGAAGAGGTACGATGGTGGATTCTCTGATTACTCCAGGCGTGGAAAGGGACAAGGAAACCACGGAAGTAGCTATGGAAGTAGCTTCCGCACTGGTATGGTTTCTCATTTGTGTACTTGGAAGATTCTTCCTACAGTGAGTTTCAGGGATTGTCTTTTGAATCTTTACAGGACTCCGTGAGAACTCATATCGCTGATGTCAAGGAAGCTTAGGCAAAACGAGTGACTGAATAAATTTACTATCAACCCCAGGTTCTCCAAAAATCATCTGTTTCTTTGTGAAGGTAAAATCTTTGTGATGAAGCCTCCATCTCTCCTTGTGATCTCTTTGGAACTTCACAGTATTCTTGTGATCTTGGGACCAAAGTGCTTCCTGTGTTTGAGATGGAAATACTTACACCTCTTAGAATTCTGTTTTTGGCAATATACCTTATACAGAAACTCCTTTCCCACCTTCAACAATTGCTGTGGGAAGTGACTGGAAAACACCCTAAGTTGGATGACGTATTTGCAGTTTCTCATAATGGCAAGGAGTTTTTGTAAAATGGTATACTGATATTTATTTTCTGTTTTAGTGGCAATATTCTCTGGGAAGTTCACACAAGCTTGAAATCATTTTTCTGATGGAAGAGAATAAAATCCACTTGTAGACTGGACTTGTTTGTATACTTGGTAGGTACTTTTTTTCTTGTTTTTTCCCCTTATGAAAAGGTTTTGGGGGGAAATACTATATATACTCGTGCACAAGCTGCATATTTTATTTTTCGGTCGATAAGGGGTATGTCGTATATTCAGGTAAAATAAAATTATTCATCGTACCTCCTACTCGTTGGTCACTTATTGAAGTGGAAGTAGTGCCAGTAGTCAGCCAGAACAGGGAAATGATAAAATAATTATAATAACGGTGAATGACTGCACCGATTCGCACATGTTTCACTTTTCGGAGTTGGACAGATTTCTGGCGGCGTGGAAAATACATTCGGGGAACTCGCATCCTCCGAGGGGCCTTTCCAGAGACAATATCTTTAGGAAAATTTTGAGCCACAGGTTTTCCGACGAAGTGAAAATCCAACTCGCTTCATGAATCCTCGTGATGCTTTGAATTTTCATGTCAGATCCCGTTTGCTCTTGCAATTGTACAGGTTCGCGTCAAGACCGCCTAGCTTTATGCATGGACTGTCCTTTCGAGACCAAAAACCGACCAGCAGTGCCAGAATGAAGCGAAATGTTTAAACTGTATACTTCATCGAGGATTTTATTACAGAAGCACGGACTTAGACCCGAATGCTGAAACCTCCTTGAGTTAACTGTCCTTCAAAGAGAAAACAGACCACTTGTTAAAAGTCTATCTTGGGATGCACAAACCTCATTTAACCTTCCGCTAGTTTACGGTCCTTCACTAAAACTATAGGGGCTTTTAGAGAGAGTTTGAAGTATCACTCTGGATTCTACTCGAGTGTAACTCTTCGTTTAAAGGCCTAATCTGGCGGGAAATGAGTCAATGCCACGTGGAATGAACACGGGTGGGTGAAGTTGATTCAGCGCAAGTGGACTGAGGTGGTAAAACGTGAAATTCGGCGGGGAAAAAAAAAAGAAAGTGAGGGGGGTTTTCATTTTCTTGAGTTATTTGCATCCCAACTGAGAACAAAACCTGCCGAATCAGCTCAGTTTTTACAGATTTCACTTCCGGTCCATTTCACTGGCCACCATGACACGGGTTACCTCCATTCGCTATTTCGTAAGCCATCCAACTTTTCAGCAAGCAAAAGCCGCCATTCATACGTTGATGACCTGCATGAATGGGGGATGGGAGGAGAGTAAAGCCTGCAAGAAGCGGTATTCCTCGGGATCGGCCAGCAACCCTGCCTACGCTGCCATAAGAAGCCTCCCTCTCCTTTTGTCCAACTATGGATCCGTCAAATACATGTGCCGGAAGGAAACCGGCGTTTGGGCAGTGGCTCACACCCCGACTCATATTGCACGTGAGCAACGAGTCAAATTCTCTGGTTCCAACGGCTACTGCGGACGGTCGAAATGAAGACAGGACAGAAAAAGTGACAGCCCTGATTTTTATCCGCCATTCCAAAAGTGACCAATGGGAAAGTGGCTGATATTGTGGTTGGTTTATCAAACCACACCCAAGAGATGCCTTGCGCCAGTCTGTCGCAGGCGAATTGTATTTTGCCTGTAGATTGTGCACAGACAACATGGTTCCTAGACTGCAAATGAGCGATGATCCACGGAAGAAACGCCAGTTATTAAGGAAAAATCCCCTTTTTACAAGATAAAGTATGTCTCAGACCTACTTTTTCTTTTTGCCAGTTAGAGAACTGTTTAACTGTCCGCTAAAGTTAGAGGAGGTTGCGCATTCGAAGAGGAAGGAGCTCTAATTAGAAGTAGGTTGTGCATTCGAAAAAAGGATTCTCCAGCTTAAACCTCGTTAAAGTTAATGAACATTTTTGTTGAGGAAAGGTTATGCATCCCCGTAAGAGCTCTTCCCTTTAGATCCCTTAACCCTAATCCGGGCAAGGTGAGTCCGCTGGACTCACTACGACATATTTCGGTCTATTACTGTCATTATTTTTTTAAACTATCAGGACCATTGAATAAATTGTCTGTATTATTTTAGTTACAGTACTGTTATTTATAAGAATACATACCGTAACCGCAGCAAACGGCCTTATTTTACATGAGTCTGACAGACTCACCTTGCCCGGAATAGGTTGTAAAAAA